GGTTTTCATTTCCTGCCATATTCCTTCTGTCTCAGCTGCACACTGTGCTAAAAACAAAGGCTCCATTCTTGAATTATGAGTATCAGACGCCTTTAACCTCCATTCTGTTGCTGGTGCCTTGGAATGTGAAAAAGCTAATATACAATATCCTCTTTTATTAGCTAAAATAATAAATGGCCAGTTCCACTCCTTTTATCAGCTGGGCTAAAGAGCTGCAGACCCTTGGAGAGTTAAGCTTTGACAGAGACAAAAAATGTACAGCTTTCAAAGCAAAATCACTGTGTTTGACCACAGCTCTGTTCTGCTGTGGTGGATGTTGTGGCAGGCAGGGATGGAAGGTCACTGTTTCTAAAGTTACCTAAGAGAAGTCCAGAAATAAGTCACCTCAGGCCCCTGTCACCCTGTGGCAGTTACCAGCCATCACATCTGGTCTCAATCAACAGCCAGGAATGAAGCACAAAGCCTAGTCCCAGGCCTGGATCCTGTGTGGCTTGAGCATAAAAACCTGGTGCAGAGCACGAGGAGCAGTGAAAGATGGGATTCTAAGGGAGACAGACAGGCCCTCAAAGCAAACAGGGCACTTGTACAGGTCACTGAAATGGTTTATTAGCCAACTCAGTGCAGAAGACGACTGCAAATAAAACACACAAATATTTATCTTTCAAGGTGAGCAAAATGTCTCCGAGGTGCGAAAGGAACAAGAGGGTTAGAGTGAATAAACAAGTGGATGCAGACTCTGAAAAAGATCTCAAAAACATGCAAACATAATCTCTTTTTATCAAGAAAGCTTCCAGAAAACCTGAAAGTCATTATGATCACTTTCAAGGAGGACACAGGAATTGACTTGAGACCCATCTGATAGTGTCTTGGAATAAACAGATCAAGTCCATTAATTTATTCCCTCCTCATTTATACACAATTCATAAAACATTGGTTGCTGTTTAGCCTGCAAATAAAACAGCTTATTCATAACTTCCAGAACATTTGGTCTGGGGCTTGTGTTAGGAGTGACTGCATGAAACTGGTTAAGGAAGAGGCACTGCTAGAGCCAGTGGTGTGCTGGATCTCCTCACCAGGCTGCTGGGCAGCCTTACCAGGCCCTGCAGTGGTCTCAAGGGGCACAGCTGGGAGGGCCATGTGGGTTAGATGAACACCAGCACTGGAGGCCAGGGGAAGCACAGATCTTTCAGTTACTACTGGAGAGACTCAAGACTCTCCAGCACATGACAGCACATTGGTGTACAAATTTATACTCCGGATCACAGAGAGCCTTACGTGTACCTCTCCCATTTTTATTAAGCTGACAAAGAGTGAGATTTTGCAGTTGGTTCACAGATGCACATTAAATAACAGGCAAGCGCTTGACTTGCACATCACCACTGCCCACATTCAGGAAAGAATCACAAATGTAAAAGCTGTTTCCCATCCCACCCCAGTCTATTAGCAATGAGGGTATTCATTGCAGAAGCTTAAATAGAGGGAAAATATGTAGCTTAGCTTAGAGAAAAATGTGTAGAATCAGTGTGATGTAACACTGGTTGAAACTTGATTTCACAACAGTCATTGCACCAGAAGGTTCAAGAACGTGGTCCAAAGAGACAAACTTATGAAAAGGAACCAAGAAAAAACTAGTACCATGTAATCTCTGGAAGTCACATGGATGTAAAATTGATATGGAAAACATTTGGTCTAGTTTGCCTGTAAGGCTAGCAAACAGAATGTATGCCACAGTGATAACAAACATGCTTAATGATTCCTACCATTTGTTGTTATGGCCATTCTGTTCATTACAACCATACTAAGATCTAACCTTTCTTAAGGTTACTTGCAAGCCTTTATTTACTAACCTGAACTCCTCAACTCTGCCTCAGGCAGCAGCAGTTGTCCTGTGACTGGAAACAAGCTTTCCAATGTTCCCTCTGGAGGTACATAGAAAAGAGCATCACAGAAAACCTGGCACTAACCTGGCATCCTGTTTCCTTGTCTGCACAGGAACACTGTGACAAATACCATCTGATTCCTAGTGACTCCACTACAGGATCAAAACTTTGAACGTAAGAAGCCACTGAATAGGCTCCACCTTCACTTCCCTTGGCACAGGAGAAGCTCAGGCTGGGCAAAGACCATATCACTCTTGCCAGTTTAGCTACATGCACACTGTTCTCCCTGGTATGTTGCCAAACAATTTAGAACTCGGCAGCTATATTCCCCAAGCACCCCTGGACCTGGCACACTTGGGTGCAGAGGAGAGGTGCAAGATGCAGGTTGGATATATGCCATAGAAAAGAAAGGTATAAGCAAAATGGGTACAACCGAAACACAACAGTAGGAGTGAAGGAGGTATAGGTGTGTAAAATTCTATCAGAAGACAAAGTATAGAAGAAAGAAAATGCAACTACAAATGAACACAAAAATGAGAAAACAATAGATGCTTATCTTCAGAAGGCAGCTCAGACAAAACAAAACACTTCCCCCAAACTTTTAAGACTAGTATACCTTAAGGCTAACTGCCAGCCTTGGCCAATTTTATCTCCAGCAGCTCAGGCTATAATGGTGCATGGTCATGCTTTCATGGAAAAGTTTAGACCGTAAGGAAATGTAGGTATATGTAACTGCGGCATCCTTTTTTGTCCATTAAAAAGGACAAACCAAAAAATCAGCTACAATCAAGAACCACATAAAGTTGTAAAATCAAATATTCTAACCCAGTAAGAGCTCAGGACAGTGTTGCTTGCTGCAGTATGGCTTAGAGGCTCCTAATTCACTGCCCCTTTCCAAAGGCATCATAGTAACTGATTTGTAAAAAACAGATTAAAAAAAAATCACATACATTTCTTTTCCTATAGATGCCTCCACCTCTTTCTGCATACTGGATGAGCCTGTTCAGAAGAACTGGCTGACAGTGAAGCTCTTGTCCATAGAGCTGTATGCAAATCCAGAAAGGAGGTTGGAAGGCAATTGTTAAGGAACTTGGCTCCCTTTACAAAGAAACCTAAATAAGGAAGCTGAGGGACTCTCTGGATATTCAGATTTTATGCTTTGTGCCTGTATTTATGAACACCAGACAGACTCTGCAGCAAGGTCAGCTTCTCAGTTGTCAGGCCATGGCATGTCTCCTGTTTTATAAACAAGCAGCAAAACAGCAGATCTTTTGTTCACTTTGTCTCTTGTTCTATATTAACGGCACAATTAATTATTCATTAATGAAATTTAAATAGCAGTGACCCAATCTTTCCATTCACTTCAGCTCTTTGGCCTTTGCAATCTAGAACCAGAAATGTGCAGGTGAGCACCAGAGCCACCACTTCAGAGTAAAACTTTCCTGCTCATTAATGACTTAAGCTTGTACTGAAAAATGAACATGTTTGTCTACAGATAGATGGATGTTTCACTCGTGTATCTAGATAGTTACTTACTGCCCCCAAATCTTTTGCCTTCAGGCAGAACACAAAATGGTGACCCAGTCTTTTCTTTCCACTTTCTCTCAGGAAAGAAGAAAAAGATTGCATCTTCCTCAAAAACATTTACGAAATCCTTTTGAGAATTACATGTGATGAGCTTGAAAGAAATTTACCTCATTTCTGAAGTCGCTCCCCTTCACCTTACAAAAAATTGTTACAATTTTAGGTGTTTATAGGATAATGAATTTGCTGAGATGCATCTAGAAGTCATAAGGCATCACCCATTCCTACCTCAGAGCTCTCTTTTGGCTAGTTTCTCACAACTCAGTGGGATTCTCAGCCCTCTTCCCTCACTATGGGCACTTGTTGGTCTATCTTGCAGAACTACTGAAGCAGTGAAGGTGACAGGCAAACAACACTGTTCAGGGATGAAGCACTAGAAACAGACTGGAGTGCACATTTCCCCTCCAAGGGAACAGTTCAGCAGTAAAGACTTCAACAAGTTCCAGCTGTTTCCATTTACAGATTTTTAGCATAAATCTCACTGCTGAAAACAGTCACTTTTCCCTTTCTTAACAAATTAGGACCTTCATTAACAAAAGGATCTCAAGTTGCTGTTGCACCATCTCAAGCCCCTAACAAAACCTTTAGCCTTGAAAGGTAGGGTGGAATTTTCTGACATATTGAACTGCTAAAGAATCTCACCTTTATGTGAAACAGCAGGGAAGTTAGCTAAAAACATTGCATTGAACTTGCTAAGATGGAAATTGATCACTCAGCCTCAATCAAGGACTCACAGCACACCACACCTGACAGGCAGCTACTACCTTCTGTTATCTTACAAACGTGACAATGTACACTACTGCCAGAATGATTTTAACCTCCTGTTCTGTGGTTTACTGTCAGATACCAAGACCTTTTTCTTTGTAGTACATAAGGCAAAAATCAAATGAGGAAGTAGAATGGTTTTCTCATCTCAAGCCCAAGCATTTCCTGTGCCACACACACACACAAAGTGCCTCAATCTAAGGTGCTAACAGGCGACGTAACTTCATAGAATCATAGAATCAACTGGGTTGGAAAAGACCTCCAAGATCAAGTAGTCCAACCCTACCGTGGTTACTAGCCCATGGCACTAAGTGCCACATCCAGTCTCGTCTTGAAAACCTCCAGGGATGGTGAATCCAACGCCTCTCCCTGGGCAGCACATTCCAATGCCTTATCCCTCTCTCTCTAATATCCAACCTAAACCTGCCCTGGCAGAGCTTGAGTCTGTGCCCTCTTGTCCTCCTGCTGGTTGCCTGGGAGAAGAGACCAACCCCCACCTTCCCAGCTCTTAAGCAGAATTCTAGCCATAAATGCTGACAACATAATCAATAAGCATAATTCTCACTTATTTTACACATACCATTTGCAATAAAACTGCTTAACTTCTGAAAATGTAAAAAGCTAATCCAACCCCACAACCAGGACACTGCAGATGAAGCAGTAACAACGAGCAATTGAATCCTGCTTTTTCCATGAAAATAAACTGCTCCCACTACGACCGTCAGCCAGGCTACAGCTACATTACTGCATGACAAAGATACACACGTTAACTACAGTTGGTACATTTTTCTTATTTATTCAAAAGCTAGTGGATGACAAAAAGGGTTAAAATGCTTTATACCACCTATTTATTACATGAACAAATACTTAATCCAAAGGGACTCACTTTACAAGCTCCTCTGTCCAAAAACCACACACAAATTAGTTTTTATACACAAATGTTTATTTCTCAAATAAACTTCCCCTTTAAACACAAGGAATGAAATCTAAATCTTCATAAAGATGAATCCGAAACGAAATCCCTCCAGTACATTGTAATCACTGTTCTCTTGGTCACTACTGGCTTTAACTGTTTAACATCAAAAAACAAGAACATATTTTAAAAAATCATGCTACTGGATACCTAGCTCTGCCTCTGACCAGCTCTACACTGATCTCCACAGTTGGAAAATTTTACATCATCAAATCTGAAGCATTTAACTGAACAACAGCTGTGCATTGAACACAAACAACTCAACGAGAGAATTATAAGATGTAATCGAGTTCATAACGGATATAGGTGTTCTTTTCATCATTATAGATCCTTGGGTAATGTGCTATCAGAGCATCCTGGGAGCCGATGTAGATGGAATTATAAATCTTCCAATAAACGTCTCTGACTTTCCTGGCAGGGTGGAACAAACCCTACAAGACAGGATGGAACAGAAGTTATTAACAGCTCAAGGTCTAAATGTCTGTTGGTGAATTCCATCAAGTGTGGCAAAACAAGCATTTAATACATGGCCAGAATGTGCAAGGTCTAGGAAGAAAACCGTTTCAGGCAATAAGAATATACAAGTAGCACTTGCAAAAATATACAGTGCAAGAGACTCTTTTCACCTTCCTACTGATGTCACTTACCTTCAAGCTGAGGGCCCCACATTGAAGAACAGTGAAATCTCCTATCTGAAACAACTAATAAAATGCTGTCACACCTTCTCTGCATTGATCTGCATTACATGAATCCTTGTTCCCCAGCCCTCAAATGAGTTTAGATTCTATAGCCAACACAGCAGGAACTGCTCTGTGCAATTAGACAAAAAAAGAGCCTTCAGAATTTACCACCACAGACACTTACAGAAGCTGAACTGACTAGTATTGATCTAATGGTGTGAATTCTCATCAGAGCATGGTTTTCCAGTGCTTCACTCTTACAGTTTTACATGTTTCTCTTGGCTAATGACCAATCCTGTTGATTAAATATTAAACCTCCCCTCTCCTTTATTTATCTCACTGGTTACTTGTTCTTATAATCTCTTGCACAACTAACTTATTCCTCAGTCATTAGTTCATGTCCTCCAACTTTGTGAGAGGCTTCCCATCTACAAACCAAAGTGCCAGGCTATTGTATACAACTGACATTCTGAGGTACCTGCCATCTCTACACAAGCTCCACAACGCAATCAGCTGTCTCACCATGCCAAAACCTCTGGTTACTGCATATGTCAATTATTCAAGTCCTTGGTACAGACTGCCATGTTCAAAGAATACTTCAGAGACAAAAAGCCAGAGTTGCCCTTTGCCAGAAATCACCTTAAGTTGCCGTTTTTATCTCCTGGAAAGAAGCCCTGCCTGACAACTGCTGTCTGTTCCACCCCAGCACACACAAGGAGTTACCTGTAAACAGTACTGCAGCATTCTGCAGGGACCAATGGCAACTCTGAGGCCCTCCAGAGCCCCCATAACGGCCTGGATGACGTGAGGAGAGGTTTCAAAAACGTTAGGCCACACATAATTTAACAAGTGATTAAGGGAATCTTCACAGCCAAACCCATAAACACCAAGAGACATGTGCTGTACCACAGCACTGGCTGTTTGTCTGTGCACGAGATCCCTGCAAAGAGAACAATCGCCTGTTAATAAATACAACTTAAACAACAGGATTGGGTAAGGAAAGTATTTCTTTCCAATAATACTTCGAAAGCACTAATGATATACACTTTTAACCCAGCAAGAGGCAGAGTATCAAAAAATAAAATTAAAAAAAGTGAAAAAAGATGGGAGTGTCTGGCAAATTACTGCACTCTAATTCCACAGCAGAAGTACCAACAACATAAATTATCAGAAGCAGTTTTAATGCAAAAAGTATTAACTCATTTAAGACATTTGTATAATTTTAATCTTCAGAAGTGTTAGTCAACTTGGAGCATATAATCCACATTATTTACAAATAATGGCTTCCAAATTACACTGGTCACTTCAAACCTTGAGCAGACAAGGACAATATATATATTTGCTGTGGTTAAGGACCAGCTGTACACTTAAACCATGACTATGGCTAATGGTACCACAGATAGAAGTGCACTCACCTGTCCATTAAAGCATCTTCAAGCAATGGTGTAACAGCATAAATGTAATCTTTTCCCATCTCTCCAATGTATTCAAACAGGAAAGAAAGAGATTTTAGCACACCATTCTGGACATTCAGTTCTGGAACTCTGTATTCATTCATGAGTGCAGGCAGCACTGTGAAGGGTGAGCATGTTTCAGCCACAATAGCAATTGCTACTGTAGTACATACTCTGTTCTGCCTTTCCTGTACTTTCAAGTTATTCAGCAGTGTAGCCAATACATCATGAGGTCTGCAAGAGACAACGTGGGCATCTGTGTCAGCAGAGTCACCAAGGATTTGGACAGTGTTAGTTGAGTTTCAGAGAGCAAGAGGCAGAGAAACATGGCTTAGCCCTTAAAAAAAGTTCAGAGAACCGAGGAACAACATAAACCATTGAACTCTAGAACAGCTTAAGCAATTTATTTTCATAACCATCATTTTTTACTGTCTCTAGACAAAGCTTTTTCCCTGCCTGCTGTTCTGCCTCTTATAAGGTCTGATGGGTAGCAGTAGCCTCCCCACTATTACTCCAGTCCCACAGGCAATTACAAACTCTGTGTGCATCAAACCACCTACATAGACAGAGACAGTTATGTCCAGCACAGAGAATGCAGTTACTGCACTCCCTGGCTGCTTGCTGTACCTGTATAAGGTCAGTAATAGAACACTTAAAGAACATGCATCAAGATGGGAATTGTATTCATTCTACAATTTGCTGACTTGCACTATCACCTCACCGGCGAACAATCCTTTGCAAATCAATAAAAGTAATGATTTGGGGAAAAACAAGGCAAGAGAGATTGAGTATTTTAACAAGAGTTTATGGAAGAAATCAGAGGGTCTGAATGCATACCACAGCATCAAATATTCATGAGACAACAGCTCTTACTACCAAATTAGACTCCAACCTTATTACTCTACAAATATTATTCAGAGGTGCAGCATCCATCCTATGTCAATGAGGATATGGGACTGTGCTCTTCAAAATGAGTAAAACCAAGTCTGCATATCTAACATGTAGAGAAGTTTGAATATTTTGCACCAGAAAGCTACCAATCACCACTGTTTGCTGTGTAGAAGTGGGTAAACATGAGACCAACTTACCCAATAGCTTTTGCAATATAACCAAAGGTGTTCACTGTGGCCCTTCTGATGGCTTTCTTGTGAGCTTTTAGCAATTCAAGCAGTTCAAAGCAGATCCTCATCCATTCTCTTGCAGAAACATATTCTGCACCTCTGAAACAGAATAAAGGGAGTTATCTCTTCAGTGATGTTACAGGTTTTCCAATAAAGCCACATACACTGAGGCACCTGTTCATTTGTAATTAAGAGGAATACTGCTTCAGGATTTCCTTAATTAGGTACCTGTTAATATTAGCCCTTCACCAGTCAATGGCAGACTCAAAATTTATTACTCTGTATGCATTCCAAGTTTTCCCAAGTGGACAACACACTTCTGAAAAAGTGCTTACAAAATAACATCATTACAACATGCTCGGACTGTTTGCGAAATATCTTCAGCTTTATGCACAGCTTCAGAAGTAGACATGACAATAATCCCCATATGCCACACCTGATAGTCACCTTGAGCTTTGGCCACGTTGAAGAAGTAGCCCACACAGAGGGTCAGGTATTTTATCATTAGCCAACTCACCTGTCTGCAATGCGCCCGACAAGATCAATACAGTTCTCCTGCACTTTCTCATGCCTGTTCTTCAAAATAGGTGTCAGCCGAGGCAGCAGATCTTTGATTGGTGGTGTCATCTTGTGCATACCTGTTGAAGTCAGAGGCACATTCAGTTCCATAATGCCTGTACATTTTGCTCCTCAACAGCCATATTATCAACACCAAGACATACCTATAACATTGACAATCGCCTTCAGCGCTCCGAGTATGCTGCCCAGTACTTCAGGGTATTCTTCACCCAGGTACTCATACAAAACCACACCCAAGTGTCCCATCAGTTTTTCCTACAACCAAGCAAGAAGATTTAGAAGTTAATTCTTCTCTCCTCTCTTACTACTATGACATACTAGAGCGATTTGGCAGCAGCCCATACAATACCTCTTGACAGGTCTTCATGACGACAGCCGTGCGGGAGATGAGGTCTGCCGCCTGCTGCCGGACCTTGGCTGACTTGTTGTTCAAACGCCACAGAACTGTACCACAGATCTGTGGCAGGTAGGGTTTAACCCTTTTGCCTAGAGCATTAACCACTGTGCCAAAGCCATTCAGCATCACAGAATCCTGAGGGTAAAAACAAAGGGGGAAAAGAAATCAGACAAAGAGCAACATGACATTTGAACTAAAATTGTCATCATCTAAAATTGCTATTTATGGCTAACATGCCTGAGATTGCTTCTGGATTTCATGGATTAGTGCACTGACGTCGAAAAAGGCATTTCAAAACTCTTAGAATCATACGTTTCTGTATAACAGTGAGTTGGCTTACAACTAAAATAACCCAAACACCCTTGGCCATACCTCTGTGGTCTGTTCCTGAAAGGCATACAGGATACCATCAATAAGTTGTTCTTCCAGCTTGTGATCAATGTCTGCTGCCCCCAGATTTCCCATGATCTTCTCAATTGTTTCCATGACCATTTTTCTGTACTGCTCAGCCTCATCTTTCAGATCATCCACAATCCTAGAAATAATTTCTGCCGCTCCAACTTTATTTGCCAGCTCCACAGTTGTATCAACCAACTGAAACACACATGTTAAATAAGCATTGTTAAAGTCTACTTTCTGCATCTTGAAAATATATTTCTCTAGTCTGAAGAGCAGAAACAGCATCACACACATTAAGCCCACTACAAACAATTGTTTTTACCCTTAGAAATCATCCAATGTTTTTCACAACACGAATGGGGAGACCTACCCCACCTTACAACTGAAGCAGCCTCATTTACAGATGCAAAATGTATTAACTGCCTTCTCAGAACCTGTGAGTCTTCTTAGCTACACAACTTCTAAATGGCTAATACAAACAACAGTCAGTTTCCAGACACAAAATTAAGCACCTAGCCTGAATGGACATTCTAATGAGAATTTTGTTCTACTGTAAATAATTTCCCAGCTAAAAAAAAAAAAAGATCAAAATACCTGTCTGTAATTTCTTCTGTCCAAAGCCATTCTGTGCTGCCAAAAGTGTTTGAAAAAGGGTGGCAAGATTTCTGTTTTGATGTAGTTTGCTTCAACACCATCTGTACCACAACACTGCTTTACCACCTGACAGGAAGTAGAAATCCAAGTTTTAGTTCTGTGTAGGGTGTGAGTAAGGTTTTCTGTTTGGTTGGTTTGGTAGTTTGTTGTTTTTTGGGGTTTTTTTTTCATTTTAAGAAAAGGAAATATATACATACTCAATAATAATCATTCTAACATACCTTCAACACAATTTTTTTCATCTCTTCATCAGGAGACTGGAACTCTCTGATAAGGATCAGCATGACTTCTCTGGTATAATAGTTTGCATACTCAGCATCCATGAGGGGAATCAGGTAACCAATAGCCTTCAAGAAAGCAGCCAAACCCTATGGAAATGCAGAAATGTGTGTCTCATGAGTTACAGAAGGAACACACTCAGTTCAATTGAAACTGAAGAAAGCGTTTCAGACATACCTTTCCTCTGTGCTGACGTATACCCTTCCATAAGGGCTTCAGGACAGAATCAAAGGACTCAATACCATAGGGAGTAGCTGCCTCAGCCAAAGCAGCAATGGCCAAAGCACTGATGGTGCGAACCTTCTGCTGCTCATCCACCAGACCTGCAAGAGAACAGTGTTCAGTGCCACTTCGTCTCCTTGGAGTGTCTAAGTTCAACAGAGCAAAAGCAGAGAGGCAGTGTAAAATGGATTAATTTATTTTCAGGGATACTGAACCACTATTCCTCTTTCAGAGTCAGCTGAAATGTTTCTCAGTGTCAAAAGAACCAGGACCTTATTATCACTGTGCCTTACTGGGGTATGAAAAATTGTCCACATATGAAGTGAGTAAAAACCACTTTGCTGGGAAAGCAGGACTTACCATGTTCAATAATTTCAACCAAGCTCCTGAGATGAGGCAAGATAGCACAACCCATGAGAATAGCAATCTGCTGTACAATCTTGATGCCAGTGTGCCTGGCCTGCCAGGACTTCTTGCTCTTACAGACAGCTTTCAGGAAGGGTAACAGCGAAGGAATGCCCAGAGCAGATGCAACGACGGCGAAGGCTCGAGCTGTCGTGTTCCGGACATACTCATCCATGTTATCAATATCAGGTCGCATGGTGGAGATCATTGTTGCCAAACCAGCAGCCTGAAGGAAAAACATACAAAATACACCAAATGGACTTAGGAACAGCACAGTTAATTCTTCTGCCATGCCTGTAAACATGCAGCTATATGTGCATATATATTAACTCAGTGGTTTAATGAAGGAGGAAATTTTACCTTAGCCAAGTTGGAAATAATTTCCCTGCCTTCCACTCTAGCGTAGTAGTCTTCATCAATCAGCAGAGGTTCAATGACCACAAGGATCTGAAAAAGATGACAAATAAATATTTCCTTTCACACATTTGTAGTTTTCACACATTTAATAGTATTTCTGGACCTACTAGATTCCATGAAACATATGGATTCAAGCTTAAAACTTTGAGATCACTGGAAAAAAATTAAGTCTATTATGTTGTTTTTCCAGCTCTTAGTCTCTCAAGGGCCTGGTCTGGAGAAACTACCTGGATCGGGTAAGACGCCACTCCCACACCCAAACATGCATATATCATATTTACATCATGCCTTAACACTATAAACCCCACACTGTGATCACACCGTAAAAACCTGAAAGTCTGGCTTAAGAAATATGAAAGCCAATTATAGAAAAATATGGTATCGTCCTCTTCTGATATACAAATAAAATGCAGAAAGAGCAAATCAGAAACGAAATAGTGAACTGCAAGAGACCTTGTGTACGTATGGTCGGACCAAGTCATCCAGTTTGTACAGAATCCTGTCGATGACTTTGACGAGCAAGTGACGTTCCTGATCTTCCAGTGTGGGTGACATGAGCAGAGGCAGAATCTGGTTGAACAAGGGCCCTGCTCCGAACTCCCGAGCTTTGTCAGTGATCTGTCTCAATGCAGCCTGCACAAAATCGAAAAGCCACCAGTTAACCAGGGAAACAACACTTAACAGTTACAAAACTGATACTAACCAAGTTAAAATGTTACTGTAATCACAGGCTTCAAAGTACCCGCCCCCATCACTGCAAACCTCTAAACAAGTTTATGCTGATCTGTTTGAAAACAAATGTGTGACATGGTGTTGTTTGCTCCTGGGTGTTCAATTTTCCACTAAAGTATGTTCCTGGATTAATATTGGCTCTACCTCAAAAGCAGTTTATACAGGATTTAATTGCACACAGGCAGCTTGGTGCTATGGTCAATTTAGAGCAGACCTGTGCAGACAAAGACTGCTGTCATGTGGCCTCGTGTTAAGGCCTAGACTTCACTAAGAGCTACACTGCTAATTTAAGTGTAAGAAGCAAAATCCAGAAAATTAAAAGGCCCTGCAAGGAAAAGGCACTCTAAATCCAGTTGCTCATAATAACAACAACAAAAAAAAATTTAACCCCCCCCAAAACCCCACAAAATTATTCAAGCCATATACCATTTAGTGACTGACATTACTATACAGAAAGCAGCAATACTAAATTACATTGAATGACAAACAAAAAGCCACACAGAAAGACTAAACAGACACACAGTTTTGGCTGGGGTAGAGTTAATTTTGGTTACAGTATGGGGCCATGTTTTGGATTTGTGCTGGGAACAGTGTTGGTAATTCAAGGATGTTTTTATGATTGCTGAGCAGTGTTTACAGAGTCAAGGCCTTTTCTGCCTCTCACCCCACCTCACCAGTGAGGCTGAGGGGCACAAGAAGCTGGGAGAGGACACAGGTAGGACAATTGATCTCAACTGATCAAAGGGCTATTTCACACTATAATGCATCATGCTCAGTGTATAAACTAGGGAAAAAGTTGGCCAAGGGCCACAGCTTGGGGAACTGGCTGGGCATCGGTTGGTGGTGAGCAACTGTTTTTACATTAGCATCACTTGTTTTCTTGGGGTTTATTTCCCTCTTTTTTGTTAATTTGCTTTACCATTACTATTACTATTGCTGTTGTGGTTATTTTTATTAAACCTGTTCTCATCTCAACCCACAAGCCTTCTCATTTGTGCTCTTCTGATTCTCTTCTTCATCCCACCAGGGGAGGGTGGGGGCAAGTGAGCAGTTGTGTGGGGGCTTAGCTCCCAGCTGGGGTTAAACCACAGGAGGTACCAAAATTTAGGAGATTATCTTTAAGATAACACCATGGACAACTGAAGCCAAATCTGAAAATACATACAGATATTTGAATAATGCAATTACATAAACACCTCTGACAATCCACTCACCTTCCTCATGGGAGGTGTGCCATTCTTGATTTTCAGAAGTAATTTCATTATTTTTCTCTCCTTCTGTTCCTCGGGGCTCAGAGTTGATTCATCAACATCAACCTACAAATAATTCCAGACAAATAAATGGGCATTGCCACATAGTCAGAAGAGATAAGGACAGTTAAATCAGCATGAGTGAAATCTCACTTACCAGCAGTTTATCAAAGTACTGGATATCATCTGGCTTTAGGAATGGGAGATTGCCAGATGGCTGGTCATTAACACTTTTCATGGTCCTGTCTTCTGTCTGCATGTGGAACCCAGTCATGCCCCCCAAGGGTGTTGGGGTCGCTGTGAGCTTCCGAGCTGGAGTGCGGATGGGTACGTAACCAGCTGGGGGGGGAAGGACCTACAGAACAGAGAGCAAAGGTTATTTCATTCCAACAGATAGAGAAAGATGAAGACATCAAATACAAAACATCACTAAAGTTCTAGCTTTCATTGTACTGTTTGGGGAATTTATGAGTGTTGTTGCATACATTAGATCCCACTGACAAACTCTGTGACAGTTTGTATTTGTGCTAGTCCTGTATGAATAGTATTTCAGGAGAAAGCTCACTTCCACTGCTGAGAGCTTTGATAACAAATTTTGATGTCTCCAAGAATAAAAGCAGCATTTCAGTATCTGCATCAGCACAGTATACTTACTGACTTAGAATCTGTGACTCCCTTCTATGTTTTCTACCTCTGGACTTACTATTTTTATCACTCCATTCAGAGCTCATTTCTGGCCCTGACAGGCATTCCCAACACTGAGAAGCAGAACAATGATTGCCCTTTGAGATCACCTTTACATCTCACTTTCTAGTGGATTTACAATAAATCAGTAACCAAATCAAACAATTGTCTACAATCAATAATCAATACTTAAGGCAAAACCTTCTACTTCTGGAGAAAAAAAATAAATACATCAGGAAAATAAAAAATCAGGAAAATAATAAATCAGGAAAATAAAAAATAAAACAAATCAGGAAAAAAAAACCCATTACGGTCTGTTATGTTTTAAACTGGATGAATTACCTTATACCCTTCTGGAAACATAGCATCCAATTCCTCATCAGAAAGTGGTCTGTTTCTCTCATCAATCTCCCTTTCCCAACGCCAAGCCTGCAGCTGTTCAGGAGTCATGCTCATGATATGACCTATATGCAATTTAAAAAAGGTATTTTAGAAAAGTCTGTATGCAGAAGGAGATGACTTGTTTACTTAAGTGCTCTCCTGAGTCAAAGTTTCCCTAGTACTTGAAATCTGTAGCCAGTAAGATATAGGACTTTTAGAGTGCTGGAGAGCAACTCAGGCAGATGTCTATTTCAAAAGACAATATAAAAGGTAAATGTTTCATTCCCACAAAACTGAGTGAAGCCTCAGACAAGGAACTGAGCTTACCTGGTGTAGGGGTTGCCATGTTCATAGCTGGTGTGCCAATGGGTGTTTTGCCAGGGGTCAGGACAGGAGTGCTGCCACCCATCTGGCTCGCAGGTGTTTCATCCCATCGCGACTTCCTTTTACTTGCTCCTGGGGTTGGTGTCTCCCCAATGGAGTCACCACCCCTGTCCGTACGAGGTGTCTCAGCCCACCCACTGCCATGGCCAGGGGTATCTAAGGAAAAAGAAAACCAGTTTTGGCAGAACTGTAGTACTGAAAGTCAAATTCATTTCTACACAAATCTCAAAGTATCAAATAAACAAACAGCAGACCAAAAGCAAAGACTACTTTGGTGATTATCAAAAAACCTCATGCATTATACTCAAAACATCCAACAAAGCACTTCACTTTGTGAAC